TTGACTTTAAGAAGGACTCATATTGCATATTGTCTAATATACACCTGTTTGTTATTTTGACAGTCCATGACATATATTCAGTACTCTTCTTTAACACCACAACTCATAGGTCATAGGCTTTGGCTCTTTTTTATTCATCATCTAGCTCTCAGATGCAAAGCAAGTGATTGAAAAGACTATGGCCTGAATCAGGTGCACCTTAGTCTTCAAAGTGACATCATTGCTCCTTAAAACTTTAAAGAGATCCTTGACAGCTGACTTTCACTGAGCAACATGTCTTTTGTTTCCTTGACTGTTAGTATCTCGGGCATTGACTATGTATCCAAGTAAGATGAAATTGTTGACAATTTCAATCATTTCTCCATCTATCATGATATTGCTTATTGGTCCATGTGTGGATCCTTGTCTTCTTGATATTGTGATGCAATCCATACTGAAGGCTGTAGTGTTTGATTTTTTTCAGCAAGTGTTTTAAGTCCTCCTCAGGTTCAGAGAGTCAAGTATGTCACATGAATAATGCAGGTTGTTGAGGATTCTTCCTCCAATCCTGATGCCACATTCTTCATAAAGTCCAGCTTTTCAAACTATTTGTTCAGCATGCAGATTGAAAAAGTACGGAGATTGGTTACAGTTTTGACGTACCTTTCTTTATTTTAATTCATGCAGTGTTCCCTTGCTCTTTCTGACCACCAACAACTTATTGGTTCCAGTTTTAGATTTCACATGAGCATGATAGGATGTTCTGGAATTCCCATTCTTCTCAATATTAGCTGTAATTTGTTGTGATCCACACAGTCAAATGTCTTTGCATAGTCAATAAAACATAATAGACATTCCTCTGGTATTCTCTGCTTTCAGCTAAGATTCACCTGACATCAATAGTTAGATTCTTGATGCCTGAGCATTTTCTAAACCGAGCTTGAACTTCTGGAAGTTCTCTGCCAATGTCCTATTCTAGCCATTTAATAACAATGTTTGTACTGGGGACCCACTCTTTGCAGAGAGATGGGTTGAAATGGACACATTTCTTGACCTTGGGGAGTACTTCTTTGTCTAATGGGGTGATAAGAAATTGGGATTTGCAAAGGAGATGGGGAGAACATAGTTCATATATATATTCTTCAGCTATGACAGTAGAAGAAGTTATTTATTGTCCACATTACATCTAACCACAGCTAAAAACAGAGTTAATTCAGAGTATCATAAGTCCATTGCTACATATCAAAAAGGGCCTGGATTTGAAGGAGGAAGGTGGGTCTGTTAGCAGTATTCATGGTGATCAAATGGCAATGGGAGTTCTAGATCCCTTGAGTCAGCAGTTCTAGAGAGGAGCATGTGGTCAATACTGTTTCAGTGTCCTCAGCCTGTGGCATTCTCTACTCTTGCCGCTGTGGTGTCTGTGGGTGCACATGCCAACATTACCTGGACCTCTGCCTCATCTTTCTTCTTTTAAGCTTCAGCCTGCATATTCACTTTTTCCTCCACTTGGCCCTCATGGTTCAGAGGTCTCAAACAAGATGGTGCTAAAATCAAGAGTTGGACACAGTTCTTGACTTTGGGGTACAGTAGTTTTTTGTCTAGTTGAGTAACCTAGAAAATAGACTTTAAGGTAGAATGCACTTGGAACCCATTGGAGGAGTTAATATCAGCATTCAAAACCAGATCAGGTGCCAACTGTGGAAAGATCATAAATTATTCATATGCAAATTCAAATGGAAGCTAAATAAAATGAAAACAAGTCACAAAAACCAAAATAAAACTTTGAGTCTATCATATCTGAATGTAAAGATCATGTCAAGAATAGTGAATACTAATGATCAAAGACAAGACAACATCAAGGATATCATCCATGAAGACAGTAACAAGCTATTCAAAGACAAGGGAGGGAAAAATTAAAAGACCGTATGCATGTCAGAAATGTCTCTGTAAATTGCACAAGACTGCCAAGAAGTCAAGACAAAGGGAAGAGATGCCAAAGTAAAAGAAATAGACAGAAGATGTCAAAGGACAGCTCAGGGAGAAAAAGCAAAATAGGATTATGAAACCTGCAAAGTAGTCTTAGTTGGAAAATAAAAGGGACAAACTCTGCATCTTTCAAGCTGCAAGAACTGAAACTCATGTCTCGATTTACAGCACTGAGAGATGCTATGAGCAAAATTTTGAATGATCCAGGGAGCATCAAAAGAAGATGTGGGGGTTTTAAAAAAAAGATGAGGAAATATATAGAGTCATTATGAAAAAAATTGTCACAAGTATTTCAGGAAATGGCATATAAGCAAGAGCCAACAGTAATAAAAGAAGAAGTACAAGCTGCACTCAAGGCATTAGCAAAAAATAAGGCCCTAAGAGTCAATGGGATTCCATCTGCCATGTTTCACCTAACAGATGAACTTGTTGGAAGATGTGCTCACAAGTGAGTGCCAGGAAATTTGGAAGACAGCTACCAGGCCAACTGACTGGAAAAGATTGCTCTATGTTCTTTTTTTTTTTTTCTATGTTCTTTTTGCGTCACTAGACAGTTTTAAAAGACAGAAAGGCTTATGTCCAAACTAAAGGATTCTGATTCAACAGATTTTTTGGTCATGGTCAGAGTATAAATGTTTAAAAAGTCCCTAGGTAATTTTGTTTTTTTTTTGGGGGGGGGTAAAAAAAACAAAACAAATGAACAAATTTTTATCTTATATTGGTTTACTTACAAAGTTTGTATACATTGTTTTTCACACTGGATCTTTCCCATTTCATTTACTCATCCCTCCCTCCACACACCAAATTGTGTGACCCTATTATTAACTCCCCCACCTCCACTTTCCCCCTCCCCCTCCCCATGCACCCACCCATTCTCACCCTTCTTCTTCCACCCTCCCCCACCTTGGATCCTCATACACATTCTACAGTAATGGTCTTATACAGTATTTATCCTTATAAGACTGAGTGAGTTCACTTAGCATAATGCTCTCCAGTCCCTCCCCAGTTAGGTAGTGATTTATAAAATCATTGCTTCTATGTGCTGTGTGGTATTCCATCATGTGAATGTACCACAATTTCTCAATCCATTCATTTGTGCTTGGACATTTGAGCTATTTCCATGTTGTGATGGGGGAAAACACTGCTAGAAATATTGGTGTACAAGTATTCATTTGAGCCTCAGTTCTCATTTTCTCAGGGTATATTCCAAGCAGTGGAATAGCTGGGTCATACGGAATTTCTATGTTCAGCTTTTTAAGAAAGCACCAAACTGCCTTCCAGAGTGGTTGTACCATTTTACAATCTCACCAACAATGTATAAGAGTTCCTATCTTGCCACATCCACTCCAACACTTATTTATTACTGTTCTGGTTAAATTTGCCACTGTTACCATGCTAAGAGGGCATCTCATTGTGGTTTTGATTCTCATCTCTTACTGCCAGTGATTCTGAGCATTTCTAAATGTGTCTATTTGCCATCTGAACCCAGGTAGTTTTAATTAATTTGAGGACCACTGACTAGATGTTAAGGAACATTGATGACAAACCCCAAAAGCTAAACAACTCCTTGGAAGAAAGATGAGCCTGTCTCCTAAAAATATTTCCAGGCTTGGATAGCTGACGGAGAGTTGCTGTGAATCCAAAATGACTTGAAGGCAGTGGGTTTGGTTTGAGTGGTGGTTGTCTCCATGCTCCAAAGAGAGGTGTGTGAGGGTGATGCAGATTATCAGAATGACATTATTGTTGTTGTTGTTAGATCATGTACAAACTAGAAAATTCTCACTTATAAAATTCGAGATCTCTTTAAAGTTTACTTTCCATTGTTTTTGGGATATTCATCAGGTAGTGGGACTATCACTACTATCCAATTAAGACTATCTTTAAGGACATAGGTCTGATGATGGGTCCGAGACAGAGGTAAAGAAAGATGTAAGACTGTTTACCCATGATAGAGGAGTCAGTTTTAACAGGGAATAGCAGAAATGCCCCAGAGAAGTGAAGTGTGATGTCAGACAACAGTTTGTGCTGCACTTTTGATAGTAGAATAGAGGGATTGAATGTTACACACAGCAGATAGGGAGCTGAAGAATGCTTTGGAGTGTTGTAGGTCTGTCTAGTTGCATAGAGGTGTGTGCTTGGGGATGGGCAGTATTTCCCTGGAAGCCTTTTGGGTTTGAGAGCAATGGTCTCTGGAGACACAGATGTCTCTGTGGCAGATTGGAAACAGAAGACTACAGTGAGGTTAGTATTGACCTGGATCCTGGAGAACTGACTCATTTGTCTAGTGATCACCATAGGCTGAGTATCTGGGCTGCTTGAAGCAATCAAAAAGAATGTGGTCAGAAGCAAGAATCCAGACTGCCTGTGAGAGTCTCTGGAAGGAGGAGAGGATGATAGTCTGAAACATCTACAGGAGTCTGGAGTATGACCGAGTCAGTGGTGGAATGTGGCTGAAATCTGCATATTGTCAGTCAGACTGTGCATAGTCCTGAGAATAGAAAGGGGTTGCCTCTTGTGGAATGAGTCTTAGCTGACAAACTGAGAGTGAGGTAGCTCGGTGGGGTGGCCAGCGACGTAAAGGAGCTTGGAGAGACCAGAGCTGTTCTGCTGCTGGGTGTCCTTTCTGATGTGGGAGCTGATGCTTCTGGAAGTTGGACCACCTTGCATTCAGCTGCCGATGCTACCCTTGCACCATTTGAGTGAACACTCCCATCTACTCTACCGAAACTGAAACCTGAAACCCTGTGGCTTCAGGCAGTGATTCAGACCCCTTCTCCAATTCAGACCCCTTCCCCTTCACAGTCAAGTGTGAGAATGGTAAGATCTAGGAGGTGTTACTGAGTCACTGTCCTCACAAAACAAAAACAGCTTCCGCGAAAGTTCCCTGTCACGTGAAAGCTGATACACAGTGAAGCTGCTCTCGTGTTCAGTCCGCCCGCTGCGAGTTCGATTAGTGACGAGCGGGGCTTCTGGAACTGTTTCCGATAGCCCACGGTGCAGAGCCAACAGTCTTCTGAAGGGGCCCTTTGGCAGCGATGGCAGCGATTTTTCTCTCATCCTCGATCCTGTTCTTATTCCTGAACCTCGCGGACGGTGAGTCGGGTCTCGCATCCCGTCGAGCTTGGAGGCTTCTCCCGGGCTGCATGCAGACCGAGGTTCCCTGGCTGGGACTGGCGCTCTTTTCTGAGCTTTTCTCTCCAGGATCTCTCTTGGTGGCTTTTCTGAGCTTGCTTCTCTTTCAAGGTCTCCGTGCCGATTTTGTCCACTTACTGTCTTTCTGGAACCATAACCCTGGGTCGAGCTGCGTCTGGGGTTCTCCTTTGAATGACTCACGAGGGGCTTGCCTGGCTGTGGCTCAACCCTGTGTGAAGAGCCGCTCTCAGAACCCACGCAAGCCCGGCAACCCCAGTGCTGCCCCTCACGCCCACCCCACCCCTCACCCTCCTTCCTCCAATCCCACCACCATACATCCCCCACCCCACCCCACCCCAAATCCCTCAACATTGTGTACTCTCCACCCCCATCTTTAACTGGCCCAGTCAGCAGTTCCCTTCCCACTTGGGTTCTTCAGGTAACAAAAAGAATTCCAGCACATTTTCTCTTGAATGTTTTAGCAGGTGGGGTGGGGTTGGAGTGATGCCCGGTTGAGAGATTCTTTTTCAATAACCTCGAGCTCCTGGAGACCCCAGGCCAGAACCACCTTTCTTCTCCCGGGGAGACTCTCACACTGAGGGAGGTGGAATCTGAAGGCTTCCAGTGGCCAAGGAATTCTTTTCTGGACATCTCTGAACCCTCTCTTCTCCCCTGGTCTCTTGTTCTTGGATGGTTCTCACTACTCTTGATTCTCCCCTATCATCCTAATGTTGTTATGTAATGTTGTGTGTTAGAGCCGATTCATAGCAGGATTTTCAGATATGATAAATCCCACAAAAGGAGATTGCCCATCTATCTCTCAGAGCATAGCTGATGCATTAGAACAGCATGGCTTTGGGTTAATAGCACAAGTCCTTACCCTATGCCACAAGAACTCCCTATCACCCAAATTTTTTTCCAACTAATTTCCCTAATTACTAGCTCGAATCTATCCATATGCTTGTGCCCCCACACCAAGATGTCTTCTCACTCCTACTTCTATAAACTGCATCCCCCTCCCTCTTCTCTCCACTGCCACTTCCTGTCTTCAGTAGTTAGTTGTCTGATTTGTTTCTAGCGTTTTCCTCACCTCCCTCCCTCATCCCCAGTCCCTCCTTCCCTCTTCTTTTATAAATTATTTTTTATTTTATATTTTTAATGCAAAATATATTTAACAGTGCATTATTCCCATTTATTTTTCCCCATTCATTCATTGTAGCACATTTTCCTCCCTGCCCACCTCTCCCCCTGCCCCAGTTTGCTTTTCTTTTTTAAAAGAAAAAAAAATTTCATTGTTATACAATCCCCCCAAAGTCCACAGTCCACTTTACTATGCATTTCTTTTTCTGGAATCTTGTCATGAAAACAATACCTAATCACATATCCCTTTTAAACATTTTTCTCCCTTATCTGTTTAAATGCAGTATACATAATTTAGCCCCCCTTTTCTTAGGTTCCCCCCCACCTCAACTTCAGTTCCATTTTACAGCAGTGGCACTATTCAGTATTTGTCCTTTTGTGCCTGAGATATTTCACTCAGCATAATGTTCTCCAGGGTCACCCATTTTGTATAACAATTGATGAGTTCCTTGTTTTTCAATGCAGCCTAGTATCCCATTGTGTGAATATACCACAGATTCTCTACCCATTCATTTGTTGATGAGTACTTGGACTGTTTCCAAATCTTTGCTATTGTGAGCAAAGCCCCAATAAACATGAGTGTGCATATATCTGCTCGGGTGGCAGTTCTGGTTTCTTTAGGGTATATTTCCAGTAGTGGAATTGCTGGGTCTAATGGTATTTCTATTCGCAACTTTTTGAGAAAGCACCATACTGCCTTCCATAGTGGTTGCACCATTTTATCCTTCCACCAACAGTGAATAAGGGTTCCAGTTTCTCCACAACTTCGCCAGCATTTGTTGTTTGCTGCTCTGTCAAATTTTGCTATTCTTACTGGGGTGAGATGATATCTCATAATTGTTTTGATTTGCATCTCTCTTAGAGCTAGGGATTTTGAACATTTCTTCATGTACTTGTTGGCCATCTGAATGTCTTCTTTGGTGAATGTCTGTTCATATCCTGTGCCCATTTTTCAATTGGATTGTTTATCTTGTTGTGGTGCTCGAGTATTCTATAAATTCTAGATATAAGTCCCTTATAGACATGCCATTGCCAAATAGTCTTTCCCAGTCTGTGGATTCCCTTTTTACCCTGTTGTAGAAGTTTTTTGATATGCATAGGGATTTGATTCTTAGAAGGTCCCATTCATCTATTTCATCCTCTCCTGGTTGTAAGTTCCTACTCTCTTCTCATGGGCCATTTCCTCCAACAACTCTGCTTGCCTCTCACCTTTTTCTCACTCTAACATTCTGGCGGTGCCTTTTGCCCGATATGTTTCCACTTCTTCCCCATTCATTCAGTGCTTCCCTGAACTAAGGTCCATGGCCAGTTAGGGGAATTCTGAACTAACAGTGTCCTTAAGAATTCTGTGCAGCCTCTCGTCCACAGACCACATGTTCCCCCCCCCTCCGCCCCCCAGTATATATGTCTGCTCCTGGCCTTTTCCTCCAACAGAATTTAGTTCATATCATGCTGGGAAAGGTGGAGGGTCAGCGAGAGGACGACACTCCGTAGGATGGATTGACATAGCGACTGTAACAATGGACTCAGACACATGAGAGTGTGAGGATGGCACAGGATTGGACAAGCTTCAGATGTGCTATTCATAGGGTTGTGATGAGTCAAAGTCTGGTCAATGGCTAACAACAACAACAACAAAAACAAAAATACTTGCCCAAGCCTTCTTTCCAAAATTAATCCTTTATGCCCTTCTTTCTTCATCCTGTGGATACTGGGCCCCTTCTTTCCTTCTCTTCTGCACTTTTTCCACTCCTGAGACCTTACATCCATCTAGGCTCTCAGCAAGTTCTCATAATTCAGAAGTCAATCTCCACCACCAATTACCCTCATCTGTCTCTTTTCTTCATCTCACTATAACTCAAGTCCATCCCTGCTTCAAACTCTTCATAGTTCAGGGACTCCACCTCTCTCTCTCCTGGTTTTCTTATCCTTCTACCTCCCTCTCTCCACCAGACCACACACTTCTCTTGGCCTAACTCCTTGATCTTCTCTCTTTCCCCTTGATTCCCTAGCTCCAGTGGTTTCTCTCTGTACCTCACTCTGCTGATCCAAATCTTTGTATCTTATGAAATTGGCTCTAGCCTTTCTCCATAAGGAGCTCTGGTGGTGGGGTCCATTATGTGTTGTATTGCTCACTGAAGAGTGAGGGTCTTGAACCCACTAGCTCCTCCATCAGGGAAAGATGAACAGTCTCTTCTGGCAAAGATTTACACTCTTTGAAACCAAATGGCAGTGATTTTTTTAATTGTATTTTACCTTTGTCCATAAAGGTCCTTCTCCTAGCATTTGCCTCTTCTCCTGTGCTGGTTTTCTTACTTTCTCTGACCATTTGTGGATATGAACTCTCCTGACCTGAATTGTCACCTATGTGTGTCACCCTTTTCTAGGGAGTCGGGACTGAAAACCCCATCTACTAAATATTTAATATGTAATTATTTCTAGGATGGAGTTTCATTTGTGGCTTCTTTCTCTCCCAGGATTACTCAGACTCAGACTTCATTATGCTGTCAAGGTGTGGTTATGGGATGGATCTGTGCAACCACACTTTATTGTTAATCTCCATCAGAATGGAAAGCTCGTTATGCAGTATGACAGTGAAAAAGGCCAAGCAGAGCCACTGGATCCATGGGCCCATGTGGCAAATAAGAACTGGGAGAAAGAGATCAAAGACTTTGAAGAGATGTCGAAGAATCTCAGAATGACTGTGGCAGAGATCTTGAAGCTGGATGATCAGAAAAGAGGTGGGACTAGGGAGGAGGCAGAGGAGTGTGAGGGCTTCCCTGAAGGGCATGACAGTGAGAGCTGGAGACCAGTCTTTCCCCACAATTTTGTTGAGATGCAGTGACAGGGTTGGGTTTCTAGAAATTCAGCCGGTGTGTGAATTGTCTTTGGGGAATAGATTGAGTGGGCAAAGGAAAGAATCTTCTGGGCTGGAGTTTCTCACTTGGGGTGGAAGTGGCAAAAAGACCCAGGAGTAAAGAAGTCACTTCTGGGTGGGGGCAGGTTTGCATTCCTTCCAGGAGATTCTGGGCTGTGAGATCATGGAAGACAACACCACCAGGGCCATCTGGGAATATTGGCATGATGAGGAGCCTCTTCTCTCTTATGGTGAGAAGGTTGATACGTGGATGGTGCGTAGGTCCTCTTCGCAGGCCTGGGCTAGGAAAATCAAGGAGTCCTGGAATAAAGATGAAAATAAACGCAAAGATTACAAACACCTTGTGAAAGCAGAGATTTGTAAAAGGCTGCAGAATCTGGCCACCTGGATACACTTCACAGAGAGGACAGGTACTGACCCTGGAGAAGTACCCTAATCCCCGGGGCCCCCTGATTCTGTGTTACCTGAGTGAACCTTCCTTGTTCTGTGGGATCCATGATGCTTTGTTGGCACTTTGTTTTCTGAGTTGCTTGTTATGTTAAAGCTACTGAGTCAGTAAAGACACACAGATGGGAAATCAGTGGGCCCTCAGAGAGAACACTGACCTGGGAAGGTGAGTGGTAGGCCTACTCTGTCTGGGAGGCTGCCAGTCTGCCTCAGCCTACAGAGCTCCTCCTTAGTCCCCATGACCCAGGAACCACCTAGTTGTTCTCCTTCCAGTATCAAAAAGAAGATACAGAGAGGGAAGCTAATCTGAGTCCCCATCTTCCTACTAGTCTCAGAATTGCAATCCCAGGGTCCCAAACACACTGTGAGCAGCATGGAGTCAGAGGTGGGTGAACGTGGCCTCAGCTTCAGCAGAAATGTGGAGAGGACCAGCTCTGTTCAGTCTTCCTTAGACTTGGTGGCAAGACTTGGCCATGTATTTCATTGGTTCTAACCTCTCTCTTCTCAGTGCCCCCTGGGATGAATGTGAACAGCAGTGACACTATGGAGGACAGTGTTACCCTGATGTACAACAGGACCCACTTGACAACCATTGGTGAGCCTGGGAAACCCTGGAGGGCTCTGATTCTGGGAGTTAAGGTGTTTTGTTGTTGTTGTTGTTGTTGTTGTTGTTAGGTGCTGTTGAGTCTAGCGTAGCTCATAGTAACCCTGTGAACAGTCAGCCTGAACCCTGTCCTATCCTGTGCCATCCTCACCATCTCTGACACACTAGAACCCATTGCTGAAGGCACGGTGTCAATCAATCATGTTGATGGTCTTCCTCTCCTTCACTGACCCTCCATCTTTCCAAGCATGATATCTCTTTCCAAGGAATAGCCTTGCCTAGCTACACGTCCAAAGTATGAAAGACGAAGCTTTACCATCTTTGCCTCTAGAGAACAATCTGGCTACACTTTTCTCAAGACATATCTGTGTGTTCTTGTGGGATAAAAGTCATAATTAGGGCCTCGGGAGAGGAAAAGTGTGTGAGTTTGAGGAGCCTAGTGTATAATAAGTTTCTTTTTTAAGAGTCTCCAGGATGTCCAGAGACCTGGAAGATCATTGGTTTTATTATTGCAGGTGTTTTTTGTGTTGTTGGAGTTCTTTCTGTTGTGTTTGCCTGTTGGTGGTATAAGAAGCAATCAGCACAGGTGGAAAACCCAGGTGAGCAAACTGCACATGGGTGGGAGAAGGAGGTTCTCTGTCAGGAAGTGAGGTTTTCTCCTCTGTCTTTCTTCATGGGTAGATGTGGAGCAAACAACATGAAATGAAACCTGAGATATTTGGACGAATTGTGAGCCACATCTGCATTAAGATGTTGAAACTTTCAACAGCCAGGGAGGCCCACATATAGTTTGAGAGCCTGGTGGGTACTGAATGAAGGTCAAGGGAAGATGAGGTCTCTGTGAGTAAGGAGTGCCGTAGGGTGAGGACAAATACCCACTCTGTGGTGGCTATATTTTCATAGATGGGCCATTGGCTACCCTGAATCTTCCAGAGAGGAGCTGCTGGCTCTGAGTGTGGTGGGTGGAACTGGAACAGTGCTGAGCTGTGTGTGGAGGTTGGTGCTTGGCATTGAGCCAGGCCAGTGCAACAGGGATGAGCACTGCTGTGTATGTATGAACATATGCAGGTGAGGATGGAGGATTCAGGGAGGGAAGGAACTACATCTAGGACTACGAGAACATGGAGTTGGGACCTCATTGTGGAAAGTTCTCTCACTTTCTCAGGGGCTAAATTAGGTGTCAAAAGCAGGGAAGATACTGAGTTTCTCCCCCTGGATCAATTCCTTGAGTCCTGCAGGGACAAGTTACAAAATCAATTTAGCACAAGGAGGAGATGAACAAGGTCTGGGAGACCAAAGGTGAAAGGCAGAAGCTAATGGGGTGTTATCCTCTGTGAGAACAAAGTCAAATCCACTTTTGGTGAGGAAAAACCTAGAGGAATCAGAAACCAAACACTGAACACAAGTTGTGCAAATATCGAACACTTCTTATTTCTCAAGCTGGTTTTACATAGTGTTTGTCTACAAAGTGAGTGAAGCTACAACACCAAACGGAGAGCAGAGGAAGCAAACAGAGCACAATGGTGCAGCTGATCTCTCAGTCTCTGCTCTCGGCTCCTGAGTGTGATGGATCACTTGGGTAAGCTAAGACTTCATAAATTATTTTCCCTATTAATTTGACTCATAGTAACCCCCTGAATACAGAGTAGCGCTTTTCTGTTCAGTTTTTAAGGCTCTGACTTTTTTGGAAACAAACCACCAGGCCTGTTTAGTGCATTTTTTGTCCACAAATTCTCTTACTCACAACTCCCTCTCCTTGGCTTACTATCAACTGATTCTGAGATCCCTAACTTCCTATTATACACTTATGTGTCCATCATTTATATTGGGTCTATGCAATTAAAAAATAATATTATTGTTAAATATTATTTTCTTTAATTGCCGTTTTAGTGAATGTTTATAAACTAGGTTGGATTTTTGTTCAATCATTCCTATACATGATGTTTTATGACTTTAAGCCATAACTGACCTTCCAATAGATTATCAGAAACTGTAAATCACGTGAGAGGAGTTTGTCCAGCTTTCTCCCTAGGTACAGCTGGCTGGATTCAAACTGCCTGCCTTTGGATTGGGAGCACATCTCCTTACCTTCTAGGTCTCCAGAGCTCCCTCTTATAACAACTGTTACAGTTAATTAGTGTAATTCATTAATTAATATGTGACCATGCTTTTATTTATTTTTTTATTACTACAAAATTCTTCATTAATTTGCACTTGGACTTGGGCCTTCCTCACTAGTAGAAAACCTCAGTGTGTGTAAGAGGTTAACTGATCACCCTTATAATTTGTGCTATGTGTGCTTTATGGTATGTGTGGTATGTGTTTTCAAAACAAGAGAGAGACTCAAATCATTACTCAGAGAAGAAGTGCTCCGGGGGCCCAGAACTTCCTCCCATTGTAGACTTAGTATGAGAGGATCATCAGGCCACACAGCTCTGTCACTGGCTTTCCAGACAAAAGGGAGAAGACACTTCATCTGTTAGTTCAATCTCTGATCTTCAATCTGTGATGTGACATAGACTGGGAAAGAATAACTTATAACTATGGTCATATGTTAATGATATTTTCCAATAATTTTCCTTTTTTGTCAGGTTATCTTTATTTGATAAATACAAATACCAGTATCTTCCAATTGAATTGTCAGATAGCTACCATCCAAAATAGAGCTTAGAACAGATGAGTGAGCAAGTCCAGTGTTACAAGTGGTTGTTAAATATATCAACTGGTCCACACTCCGCCTGGCCCTGTGTCGCCTGCCCTGCATCACCTCCTCCGCTAGGTTATACGATCAACATACAAAAATCAATTGGGTTTCTCTACAGTGACAAAGAGAATACAGAACTGGAGCTAAGAAAAACAATACCTTCACAATAGCTAATTGCAAGATTAAATAATTGGGAGTAAATCTAACTAGAAACACAAAGGACCTATTCAAAGAAAATTACAAAACATTACTATAAGAAACAAAAAGAGACATGGAGAAATGGAAGAATATACCTTACTCTTGGATAGGAAGACTCAATATTGTGAAAATGACAATTCTGCCAGAGGCAATTTACAGGTTTAATGCAATCCCAATACAAATACCAATTCCATTCTCCAACGAGATGGAAAAGGCAGTCTCCAATTTCATTTGGAATGGAAAGAGACCCTTAATAAACAAAAGCACTCTTTAAAGTGAGAAACAACATAGGAGGCATCTGACTCCCTGATTTCAAATGTGACTACACTGCCATGGTGGTCAAGACAGCATGGTAGTGGTACAATGACAGACAAATAGATAAATGGAATAGAATTGGGAACCCAGAAATCAGCCCATCTACCTCTGGTCAATTGATTTTTGACAAGGAGATGAAATTAGTTAAGTGAAGAAATGACAGCCTTTTTAACAAATGGTGTTGGCAAAATTGGAAAACTATCTGCAGAAAACTCAAGCAAGACCCACACCTCACACCATACACAAAAACCAGCTCAAAGTGGATCAAGGTCCTAGGACTAAAACAAACATCAGAGAAAAGCTTGGAAGAACTCTGGAACCCCTAATCCACAACATGAACAGTTTGCCAAACATCCTGAAAAACCCACAACCAGGAGAGGATAAAAATAGATGAATGGGACCTTCTAAGAATCAAATCCCCATGCACATCAAAAACATCTCCAACAGAGTAAAAAGGAAAGCCACAGACTGGGAAAGAATATTTGGTAATGACGTGTCTGGTAAAGGATCAATATATATAATTTATAGACTATATGAGCACTATAACAAGATAAAGGTAAACAGCCCAATTGAAAAATGGGCATAGGATATGAAC